TGTTTTCTCACAATTCATAGACCTCAGGTGGCCCACCAGCCCTTAAGCATTGGGAACGACATTCTTTTCAGGGTGTGAGACCAACCGTTGATGTATGGTGCAAAACAGTGAAGATATTATAAGAAAACAGAAAATCGTTGTTTTCTCGAAACTGCTGTGAATAAGAAAAAGGCGTTTTGTCAGAGTACGGCAGATCAGAGGGGGCGGCCAGGGACAAAAAGTGGTACAGTTAGGCCTAGAGGTTACTTAAATCGATCAGTGTGAATGCGTTAGTCTTTAAAAAAAATGTTTGTGCCAGATCAGTCTTACGTCTATCGCAGCACAATAATATAATGGTCATAATTAATACAGTGGCGTCCAAAAGAAACTTTTCATTTGATTTAAAAAAAGTAGCACAGTTAGGCCTAGGGTTACTTATATCGATCAGCGTGAATCCGTTATTCTTTAAAAAAAAAAAAAGTTTTCGTACGAGTTTTACGGCTACTGCAGCACAATAATATCAATATAATGGTCATAATTAATACAGAGGCGTCCAAAAGAAACTTGTCATTTGATATAGTCAATACATATCCCTTCCACCAATGTTGATACACCCCAATGCACACGCGAAGACAGTTATTTTACATTTCTTTGATTACGCACAATAATACCAAGCCTGATTATGTTAAGGCCAATTTTGAGTGACCTTATCTCGGGCGTCTCTTAAAATAGATGACACATTAATGTGTCAGATGATGGAGCATTAATTTAGCTTTAAAATGGTATGCTCCATGAGAGGGTAGTGCAAGACTTTAACACGATGATTGGGTGATTACGTTTTCAAGTTTCCTTTGGACGCCATTATATAAGTGTCGCAAAGAATATGTTACGTGGGTGGTTGGCGGGGGGCTCCGGTGTGGTTTGCTTCTTCTTTCCCATCAAACGTCTATCGTTCTTATCTCTCCTCCTTCTTTTTTATGTTTGTCACTCTCTTATAACGCCTCTAATCTTCTGGCGCTCATATGACCTAATGCAGTTGCAAGCGCCGTAAAACCTCTACTAAAACAAAAACTAAACTAAGAATCTGTTACCTTGAAAGAAAACTAACCAAACATTTTTGATGAGGGGGTACGAGTAGAGGACTTTGTTTTACGAGATCCTTTGTTTGTTTGTTTGTTTGTTTGTTTGTTTGTTTGTTTGTTTGTTTGTTTGTTTGTTTGTTTGTTTGCTTGTTTGTTTGTTTGTTTGTTGTTGTTGTTGTTGATGATGATGATGATGATGATGATGATGATGATGAGGATGATGATGATGAGGATGATGATGAGGATGATGATGAGGATGATGATGATGATGATGATGATGATGATGATGATGAAGAT